ACCCTACACACTCAAGGACGCACCCTGGATAAAGAAGGACCTCGCTCTGAAGAGCCTATACACCTACCGCTGTCGACACCACCGCCGGCGGCCCTATCTGCCCTCCTCCCTCATCCGGCGAGACTCCGATTCCGATCCCACCCACCAGCTCATCGAGATATGCCACCAGTTGGGGATATGGACAGATACAGCGTGGTGTCCGACTCCGGGCGGCAGGTGCAACCGGAGGAAGGACTACCACGCCGGAAGAGCAGGACCCCAGAACATGGAAGTCTGGGTACCCTTTGACCGGTTATGGCGATCGAGCAACCGCATTGGCCCGGTAGAAGGCACGACAAAGCTGGGCGAACACGATGGCAGACTATGGGAGATTGCCGAGACAGGAGAAGATGGCGAGCCACTCGGTCCCGAAGACGGGAACTCCGCCGGAGAAGGCAAACATGTCCCAGTGCACGAGCGGAGGAGCCACACTGCCTTTGTTGAAGAGGTCAAATGCGCCCAATGCAACGATCCTATCCTGGAGCGATGCGAGTCGTGCAGTGTCCGCATGCACTGCATGGGCTGCAGGAAGACGCTCTGTGCGAGCTGCGCTTTCAACAGGCCGATACCGAGGAAACGAGTCAAGACACGGCACTTCGCAAACCTGGCTTTTGGCAACAGCAGCACATTAGGCGGCACACTTGGACACGCGTCAGGGTCTTCTGGACCACTGGAAGACCGGAGTCAAGAGGAAAAGGCCGATCAGAACCGCTTCTGGTGGGCCCCAGGCGCAAGCCGATCACCGAACCTGATGAACGAGGGTGCACAGGATGATGACGACTCTGATTCCGAAGACGGGAACAACGGTATGCCTGTACCACCTGCGAACCGCGAGCCTCCAAAACTGAACATGCATTGGTGCTGTCTTGAGCCCATCTTCTCTGGAGGTGGCGGTATTGCTGTTCTGGGCACTGGACTGGGTGGCCGAGGAGCGGATAAGATACGCGCAGCGCCTTTACCTCGCACAAAGGAGTATGAGGATCCGGACTTCAGCAACACACTTCGACCCGTGGACTACGTCCGGGAGTTGAAGAACAACGGCCTGTACGAATATGTGCTTGGGGAAGACGTTGATATCCTGTCGTACCTGAAGCAAGACTCGCTTGACCTACAACAACAAACATGTCCGAGAGGGCTATGTAATGACTGCTATCGAAGCTTCCGGTGGAAAGTGTCATGTCGGGCTTGCAAGAACCCCATATGCAAGGAGCATGACTTCAGGGCGCTCAAGGTCCGCAAGTGTGGCTACCGGGACCTGCATACAGAGCGGGACCATGTGCGGTCGCATAACGAGCCGCCACAACGCCTTGTCATACCCGAGTTCAACCCAAATCGGGCCAGTACACCGGATCCTGAACGCACACCCACAGCATCGTCATCGCATCTAGACTTCTACTCCACAGGTGACAATGAGTCTGAATCGTCCGAGACACCCATGTCTCAATCGCAGATCATGGTTGCTCCCCAGCACTCGTCAATCGACATGTCAACCACAACGTCCTTCAATTCTATTTCAAATCCCGAGCCTTTCCAACTTGCCACCTCGCTGTCGTTTGTTCCCATCAGCTCTGGGCGTCCGCGTTCCTTCAGCGTGTCTGGCGTCCGCGGTCGACCCACAAGTGCTTGGCCGCCGAATTCGCAACGCGTTCCCATCAATCACCCTGTCACAAATCCTCTTCCCCTACCGTGTAACCCGCGGCATCCCGTTCAGTGGAGTGGTTGTGGTGCATACTTTTGCCAGTATCCGAGACCCGCAGGAGATGTCCGACCACAGTGTCCAGCAATTCTCAAGGAGTGCTCGGAGTGTGCGGTTCTTGTTTGCGATGTAAGTTTACTACCAATATCTGATTATGACAGATCACTAACATGTCATTAGCAATGCGCGTCATCGAATCCAACTTGCACATGCACCTTCTGCACCGTCAACTACCACTGTCCGACATGCACACACAAACCCAACGTCCGTGCCAAATGCCGGCTTGAGGCGGAGATCAAACAAAAGAAAGAAGAGCAACTTCGTGCCATCGCCAAGCAGAGGAAAGACAAGGAAGAGCGCGGGCAAGCAGATGAGCTGGCTGGACAGATGTTCGAGTTCTTTACAACAGTCTACGATGAGAGCACTGTCAACCCGACCATGGATAGCCCCTCATCATATACACATGAACTACCCATCCCGAGTCCGGACTCTATCACCGTGACAACAGAATTCGGTGTCATGGAGGAACCCGCAAACCTGACCACCATCAGTGCGTCGGGGCCTTCGCCGTACCACGCTGCCTACGACCATTCTGACGATGAAGAGAACAACGTCGAGATGACTGAAGACGTAAACGAGGAGGTCGAAGCACTTCAGCAAGGACTAGCGCAGATGCACCTTACTCCTGTGCCAGGAATGAGTGCCCATATACTGCATCTACCGGTAGACGTCGAGGCTGAACACGTTCAGCATGACAGTGAGGAAGGACAGACAGAGGAAGTCAATGACACCGGTGCAGAGGCGGATATAGATACCGACGAGCTCGACGCAGGTGCCGAAAGCACCTTTGTCGATGAGTCCGGTGACGATACTCTAGGCGGCGGTATCCTCACGCCTACGACTACACTCACAGCATGAGTCGCCACTCAACAACTTCGACAGTCTATCTCAACACGCGAAAGCAACGCATCGCTCATACAGCTCACTTCATCAACACCTCTCCAACATCATCCACAACGGAGAGAAGAAATATCAAATTGCACTTTAACGGAGTAAACAAAGGCTAAGGAGACAAACTTGTCTCTACGGAGCAAGAAACGACGGAGGATCTACAGCAGGTGATACCCAACGGGAAGGAAATACGGTTCGAAAATGGGAAGTTTAGTTACGCTTTACTAGGGCTTTTGCTGGTGGGGAAATGGGAGGGTATTTTACTGGTATATTGGCGCTGGAACTGGAGTAGGAGTAAGTTAGGCTGGTATGGTTTGGTATAGTAAGGGAGGGATATCTTGTGGGTATCTATATGGTTCCGCATTGTGGCGTTCTTTTTTTATCAACTAGAGTATTGGGGTAGTTCAATGAAAGTTTTGGACGTGGGTTTCCTGCTAGAACCTTTTCATGAGTATTGGTGGTTGATTGTGACTGTTCCACTCGCAATGTCTTTCGAGAGCAAAAAGCGTGATATTGACTTCGTCATGATAGCACTCTATATGAAGCTTTCCAAGACGGCAAAACATAGGACATCACAACTAAAGCAGCATAACTTGGTACACATAATCATCATATAATTCATCAACAAACATAACCCTACTCCTTCTTACTCAACAGCACCTCCTTAACCACCTCAATAACCTGCTTAAACGCATCCTTAGGCGCAGCAACAACACCCTTATTCTCCCTAAGCGTCCTGCCCAGACCAAAGTTAAGCGGCTTCCCATACGCATCACTAACCTCACCCCCCGCCTCCTGCACGAGCACAACACCCGCCGCATGATCCCAAATCTTCTCCTGGTACGTCTTGCTCACCGGCAGCCTGAGGTACAAATCACCTGCTCCACGCGCAATGGAGCAGTACTTTGCTTGCGAATCCATGCGTACGGAGGGCTTGGTGATGCCGAGCTTGGATGCGATGGCTGCGTTGTCGCCTTGGGAGGAGTGGCCTGCTTCTACGGATTCGCAGAAGGTGGCTTGGGTGACGTCGGAGAGGGGTTTCATTTGTATGGGGTTGGCTTGTGTGAGGGCGCCGGCGCTGAGGGGGCGGCTTGTAGCACCTTGTCCCTTGACAGCGCCGAAGAGCACGCCCTTGCCTTCTTTGTCGTCGGCATCTTGTCCGGTGGTTGTGGTGAGGGGCGCTTGGTCGTCGACGGGCAGGTTGGGGCACCCGATTACGCCGACGGTGGGGACGCCGTCGACGAGGAGACCGAGACAGACTGCGTATTGTCCACCGCGCAGGAAACCTTTTGTGCCGTCGATGGGGTCGAGCGCCCAGATCCGGCCTTTGTTTCCGCCCTCGCTGTTTCCTTGGTCGAGTGCTGCGAGCATGGCGTCTGCGCTCTTGATGGGTCCGCCGATCTTTTCTTCTGCGCTGCTGTCGGAGAGCTTTGCGGCTTGTACGAGGTCCCAGACGAGGTCGCGGAGCGAGTCGTTCTTGCGGAGGTCATTGGCGTCCTCCTCGCCAACGACTTCGTCTTCGGGGAAGGCGTGCTTTATCGATGCGATGATTAGCGCTTGTGCGCCGAAGTCGCCGATTGTGACGGGCGAGGAGTCGCTCTTGGAGAGGGTGCCTTTGGAGTGGCTCGAGTAGACGGACTTTGTGAGGATGGAAGCGCGTTGGACGGCGAGGAGAGCGATCTCCAGTTCCTTTTCGTAGGCCATGGTGTGTATGCTTCGATTCGAGGTCGTGTGTAAGTGTACGTGCTGTGAGGTATGCAGTGCGGCGGACGGGTGAATGTGGTGTTTCAATTGAGAAAGACGAGCGACACTGCGAGAGAACAGCGATGGATTGACGAGTGAGATAGCCAGGATGACGAGTGCGAGCAGGAAGAATCTTGATGGCGCAATTTGGGTGGGCATTGAACGCTAACACTAACAATCTTCAGCCCCTCCTTGTCGCTTTGGTGGGGTTCTGCACGTCGGTGGGTTGACGCGACGCAGCCCGCTGGCGCTGGCCTTGGCACTGCGGGCGGAGGTTACTGCATGGGGAATCGGGTCGCCGCCATGGCAACAACACTCTCATCAACGGCTTTCAACTGCTGTTAGTGCACAGACATTCGAGATTGCGGTCTCTTCTGATGAAGTGCAGCTTTTATCATATCTTTTCGACTACGACCGATCGATGTTGAGTGAATAGACGCACCTGGCATTCGACTCGAGTAGACGTAAACAAAGATCGACACACGACTCTACGACGCGCGCATCCCAATAATCACACCCGAACGATCCGTCTTTCTACCCGAATCATCGCGAACTCTTTCACTCCGGCGGAATGACTTCAACAGAGCAGCAGCCTGCGCTTGCGACCACGAAGCGCAAGTTCCACAAGCTCCTCGATAACCTCACCGCAAGCAACTCGACGACTTCTCTTGCGAGCACTCTCCAAGAGTCAAATGCATCGACCGCGTCCCTCTCCGCGCTTTCGGAACCAGACAGCCCTGAACATCCGAACAAGCGTCCGCGCAGCGCAAACCTGAGCATGGAGCGCCAGAGAGGCATATCGGAAGGGCAGGAGCGCATACGGCAGCTCAAGGAACAGCTTATGACCCCACGGAGGGAAAAGACTATCAAGGTCGTAGGCAAAACTGTAGTCACACCAAAAGCCTCGACGCCGCGCAAAGCACCCAACTTCCAGCCATACAGCCAGGAGCACTTCCTCGAGCGACTGAAGACGTTTGCAGACGTGAGGAAGTGGACGACCAAGCCAGATGCGATCAACGAGGTCGAGTGGGCGAAGCGGGGCTGGAGTTGCGATATCTGGAACACAGTAGCCTGCAAGGGTGGATGCGAGAACCGTGTTGCGGTCAAGCTGAGGCCGAAGCGGAAAGATGCGAACGGGAAAGATCTGGAGATGAGCGAAGATCTGGCTTTCGACATCGACGACGCTCTGATAGAGCGATACAAGGACCTCATTGTGGAGGGACATTCGGATGACTGCCTGTGGAGGAAGCGAGGGTGTCAAGGTATGAGGACACGCACAGTAGGAGCGGTAACACGACTAATACCCCAAACAGAAGACATCTACCATATCCCCATCGCATCACGCACCAAGAGCTCAGCAGAACTCCTCGACCGATACCGCTTCCTCAAAGCCATAGCCACCGACCTCCCCCTCCTCGAACACATCACCTACCCCGACCCACCCATCCAACAAATCCTCTCCCGCATCCCCTCCTCCTTCTTCACATCCTCCGGCACCCAACCCCCGCTCTCCCCCAGCGACACCGTAGCCTTCATCTTCGCCCTCTTCGGCTGGACCGGCGTCTCCGAATCACGCATCTCCCTCGCAGTATGCAACCACTGCTTCCAGCGCCTGGGTCTGTGGCTCTCCTCCGCCACGCGCCTCACAGAAATGAGCAAGAAACTAGATGTGCCGATTGAGAGTCTGCGACTTAATCTCTTGGAGTCCCACCGCGAACATTGCCCCTGGAAGAACGCCGACGTCCAAGCCAACGAAAAAGACAGCCCAATCGCCAACATGCCCGCCTGGCAAACCCTCCAATTCATGCTTCTCGGTCGTCACAAAGACATCTCTACCTCTGGTTCTGGCATCCACACCCCGTCTAAACAAACACCACGCAAATCACACCAGCAACATGCCCGAAACAACGATAGCGTGGACATTGGCAGCGAGCTCGAGTATCCGCGCGGCAGTTTCGATAGCGTCGAGCGGCCAAAGGATACTGAGGAGGATGAAGACGGCGGCCTAAGAGAGAAATGGAGTAAACTCAAAGCGAAGCTGAAGCGTAGTGCGAGTAAGAAGAGCTTGAAGAGTATGAAGAGTGGGAAGAGTGTTAAGAGCGGGAAGAGTGTTGCGACGAAAGCGGGGGATAAAGAAAAGTCTTAGGTGGGCTTTTTGAGGTATCGTTTTGCGTGAGTCTGTGTGGTTTATCCTTGTTTCGATTTCCGAGCGCGGGTTTATGATGGGGAAGGGAAGGGATGGGGAGTTCAAAGTATGTTTTGTAGTTTTATTTGGTATACCCCTTGTAATACACGTTTATGGAGATGATAAAAAGAGAGCTTCAGGACATGTACTCGAGTATGATTGAAGTGTTGAACGATTGCATCATGACATTCATACATATATATGCGTGATAGAGTAAGAAGCTAAGCTCTAGATGATACCTAGGAAAAGATAAAACGCCAACCCAAATGCGAACCAGATAATGAGCCAAAGCCAGAATGCTCTAATAATGACTTTTCCGCCATGAAGAGATGACGACGCCTAAGCATCACCCTCCATCTTCACGTCGTCGTCTTCAACCTCAACCTTCATAGCGCCCTCTTCCTCCTCGGCGACCATGGCCTCTGTGGCTTGCTCGCCGTCACTAACATCGCCCTCATCCTTCACCTTGGCATCATCCTCGCCTGCCTCTTCAGCATCGCGGGCTTGCTGCTCCGCCTTGGCCTTGTCGGCAACGTGGTTGATGATCTCGGTGTCCTTCTCGTTGAACAACCTAAGCAGCATGGCCTTGCGGTCGTCCTTGTCGACCATGAGGTTGGCGCTGCCGGGATGTCTCCAGAGAGGAAGTACCATGCGGAATGGAATGCCCTTCTCGTCGTCCTTCTCGACGCGGATGAAGCAGCAGCCCACGTCCATCTGCTGAAGCTGCGAGCCGACTTCGCCGAGGCCGGTGTCGCCCTCTTTGGGTAGCTTAGGGAACATCTCGCGGATGAGCTGGTGAAGAGTTTCCTTCTTCTCTAGCTTGACTATGCGCTTCCTTGCCCATGGCTCGAGGATACGGATACCCTCGTTTTGTAACCTCCATGGTGCTTGCGTACGATCCTGGTCTTTGATCTTGTGTGCGACGAACATGACGACACCGCAATGTATGAACTTCATGCCGCGGTCTTTGTTGAGTGTGAGGATAGTCCTGGCCAGATCGGAAGTGTAGTAGATCTTGTTGAGGGAGAGACCCTCCTTGTTCTTGACCATGAAGCGGTCGCGTGGGAAGCGATCGTCGATGCCAAAGAAGTTCATGATGGAGGCGATGGTTGCATCGTCAGAGGGGAGGTACTCAAAGTACTCCTTGGCTTGCGACTGGTTCTCGGGCTTCAAGCGGGCAGCTGAGCCGTTAGTGGCGGGCTTTGCGTCTGGTGTCTGAGCTGCCTCAGCGACTGTGTCCTCGGTCTTGGCCTTCTTTGGGGCTTCGGTGTCTTCATCCTCCTCCAGCTTGCGCTTCAGGGGTGCCGTCTCAGAGGTCTCATCTGCAGACTCTGTCTTGGTGGCGTCGGCTTCAATCACGTTCTCAGCAGGAGTGGGGATCGATGAGTCGGTGGTTGTGTCGGCATTGGCGTGCGACCTCTGTGCCTTGGCCAAGTTCTCTGGGTTCTGTACCTGCGCAATCTTGATGTCATCCACCTTCTCAAGGATGGCGATGAAGAAACCGCCAGTATCTTGCAAGTGTGGGTAAACACGAATGCAGTTTTCAAGAGGGATGCGCTCTTCCTCGGACTTCGGTACAGGGGGGAAGCATCCCGGAGTGACCTTGGTGGAGAACTGACGTTCGGGCTCTTCGGCCTCGTACTTTGCCCTCGCTTTTTGGTAGGCTTCCCAGTTGGTGAACATGTGAGCGGTCTTCTCTCCTCCGGCAGTGACTGACGATGTGTCGAGCACCTTCCACACGTTGAGACCGGGCTTTCGCTTGAGGTTTGGCAGGTGGTCTGAGCAGTCCACGAGTCGGACCTTGGAGTTACCACCGCAAGCCTCGATGGCTGCTGCGACGACAGCCTCGTTCTCCACGGGGTTCAAACTGCAGGTTGAGTAGACCATGCGGCCACCCTTCTTGAGCATCTGAAGTCCTCGAAAGAGGATGCGCAGCTGGAGTCCGTGAAGACCAAGACCATCCTTAGGCGTCCACTTCTGCCATACGTTCGGGTTCTTGCGGGCTGTTCCGTCACCAGAGCAAGGCACGTCGGCCAAGATCCTGTCGTACTTCAAGTATTGTTTCCTCTGGCCATCGCTGGGTAGTTCGATCGAGGGAAAGATGGAGGCGTCGTGTTGGGTTACGATGAGGTTGGGGAAGTTAAGGCGCTTGACCTGATGGACCAACATGCCCGCGCGCTTGTAGTCGGAGTCGTTCGCGATAAGAAGACCTGTTGAGCGCCCGTCGTCGCTGTAGTCACCGTCTTGACTAAGGTCGACCGACTCGCCGTTCGCTACCCGCTGTACGCGCTCTTCCTCATCGCCGTGAATCATCTCAGCCAATTGTGCCGACTTGCTTCCCGGTGCTGCGCACATGTCGAGGACTACCATGCCTGGCTTGACGTCGAGAAAGTGTGGCGGTATCATGCTGACAACCTCCTGTCTGCTGATGTTTCCGGACGCGGCTTCGGCGACAAGGAACTTCTGGAAATCGGCAAAGGGCGCATGTCGTCGAATGACCTTCTTGTGCGTCTTCATGTGCCATACAAGCTCATCGGGGAAGGCCTGAACTGCCTCGGGAGGCGACACGGGCTTGCCTTCGAACTGCTTGGATGCGATCGCCGGGATGTAGCGCTGCTTGAAGATTTCGCGCACTGCGAGGGCATCGGACTTGGTGCCAGTAAAGCGGAAACTGTTGGGCAGATCGGTCTGGAGAGCCTTCCACATCTCCTCGAACTCTGCTTCTTCCAAGAATCCTCCCATGCGATAGTAGCTCTCGAAGAGCTCATTCTTGCGCTCAATGGTGGACCATGGCTCTGAGCGAGTATCACGTCCTCCACCACCGCCGCCGCCGCCGCCGCGACCTTTACCCTTGCCGCGAAATGGTTTGCGACCACCGCCCTATGGAAGTCAGTAGGCGTTATCTATGTGTGGCGCATGCAGTATCTACTCACGCGACCGCCGCCTCGTGCCATTGCTGCGAGTAGGTATAGGGAAAAGGTTGAATTTGCAAACCTGCCGCAGCTGTCGCAAGTTGGTAGCTCTCAGGAAAATGTCGATAGCTTCGAGAGGCGGGCCAATAGAGCGGGGCATTAGCGCTGTACTCGATCTTGGCGGCCACACTAGCGCCCGCACATGAATTTCGAACTGGGCTACCCAACTTTCTTCCTCCAGCTTCCGACAACAACAAGGATACTAACCACCAGCAAAATGGCCCGCTCATCGTGAGTATGCCGCGCTCAATTCACCGCAACTCAGCTAACAAACCCAGCGTCCCCACCCAGAATGACATCGCTGTCCCCGAGTCGGTGCTCAAGAAGCAGAAGGCCCACCAGAAGACCAGCGACTCCCAGGCCGCTGAGTTGAAGAAGAAGCGTGAGGTATAACAGTCTCCCAGAACCTGCGCAAGCAGATAGGAGTTCCACAGTTGGCTAAGATTTCTTAGGCCAGCAAGCAAAAGCGCGAGGTCATCAAGGAGCGCGCCGCCAAGTACACCCAGGAGTACGCAAAGGCCCAGCGCGATGTCATCGAGGCCAAACGTGCCGCGAAGCGTGACAACTCTCTCTTCGTCCCCTCCGAGTCCCGCCTCGCCTTCGTTGTCCGTATCAAGGGGTACGTTGCAATTTTCAACATCCGCAAAATCCTTTACTAACCCGCGCAGTATCAACAAGATCGACCCCAAGAAGCGCAAGACCCTCCAGCTCCTCCGTCTTCTCCAGATCAACAACGGTGTCTTCGTTAAGCTCACCAAGGCCACCAGCGAGATGCTGAAGATCGTCGAGCCTTTCGTCGCCTACGGATACCCCAACTTGAAGACTGTCCGCGAGCTTGTCTACAAGCGCGGTTACGGAAAGGTCAACAAGCAGCGTCTGCCGATCACCGACAACGAGCTCATCGAGGCCAACCTCGGCAAGTTCGGTATCACCTGCATTGAGGACATCATCCACGAGATCTACACTGTCGGCCCCAACTTCAAGGCCGTCTCCAACTTCCTCTGGCCCTTCAAGCTCTCTTCCCCCACTGGCGGTTTCCGTACCCGCAAGTTCAAGCACTTCATCGAGGGTGGTGACCTTGGTAACCGCGAGGAGTTCATCAACCAGCTCGTCAGGCAGATGAACTAGGCTGTTGTGCTTTTTGTTCAATGGGTGGAGTAAACGGTTAGCTTCAAAACGATACCATGAAGATCACGACTACTGGTCGCCCACTCCTCGACGGAGGATGGAGGGCAGGCCGAGCCACATGCTCTGGTTAGCTTAGACAAGTCTTCTGCACATCAGCTGAAGGAAGAATTCAAAAAGTTCATTCCAAAAAAGTCGATTCCACTTTTATCTGCTTGTAATGTGTCGATGTTGATGCCGTGCCACTAATAACTTTTGGCTCGTTGACTCAGTACCCCATGTCAAACACGTTGTCCTTCTCCGCCTTGTTCAAATCTTCCTGACTTCGGCTCTTTAAATGCCAGAGCTCCCGTAAACGATTCAGGCTCAAACGTTCGACTCGCCATTCTGATGCACTTCGTTGCTCGATCTCAGCTTTTTGTCGTGAGAGGACTCGGGCCAGTGAGAAGGGATTGGGCCCGTAGTGGACGATCATGTAGAGACACATGTTTGTTCTGGGAAACGCGTTGGGCTGTGGAGGATGGTGAAGCAGCTTTGGTAGCTTTTTGCACTGGGGTGAATGTGGTGTTTGTACGTGATGGGGTTGGATTTAGATTTGCTAGTGACGTGGCGATTGAGCAATGGTGACAATCAAACGGTGTAAACGGGAATCATGAAGTAGTAGAAATGTCAAATAGAGTGAAGTCGTGCATGTGGTACTAGGCAATGAGTGATGCTCATGCGCACATGAAAGTCTACGTGCTAAAACGGGGTGTGAGTCAAACACGCCCTTATGAGTTATGACCCTACACTACCTCATTTCAGCTCAACATACATCAAACTCTGGGATGCTCTACGAGCCCGTAACTGAGATGATATCTGGAC